ATTTCGAATGAAGCAAGTACTTCTTACATCTAACATCGTGATATTTTGTCTCGTTTCTGTGAGACGCGATGCAGGAGAAGACACCAGAATCCTTGAGTTCTCAAACGATCTTCGAGCTGTCCGTTCGAGGGGAAGCTCGAAGAAGTCTCGTCGCATTGTTCGATTAGCGGTGACGTGGAACGATGGCGATCGGCCCGTTTCATTAAGCAGAGTGAATTAACCGGCTCTCGGAGCCTTCGCTCGCAGACTTAGGGAAGCGAAATTGCACCAAACAGATAATAGAATCTCGACGCTCCGAAGCCACAGTGATTCGAGTTTATCGATGGGATTGTGACGCTTTTGCCCGAATATACGCGTGGCCCTGTATATGTGTGTGTATATGTGTATATGTGTGTGTTGCAACGGTGTAAAATTTTCATCGCGTTTTCATAAAATTTAAAGCACTGAGAATGATATACTCCAGGTTCCCCTTAGATAAATGAAAGAAATTGTTTTATTGTATATTAACGATATCTCAGTAACATTCTACGAATTTACTTTATACATTCTACACGTTTGTTTTATACATTTTTTTAATATACTTATTTTATGCATTTTATACATTGTAATAAATTTAATTAATTTTCTGAACTGTTGATTTTCATTAAATATTCGTTTGCATTAACTGATACAAAATGATTTCTGTGATCTGCTTTTAAAACTGTTTGCACACATTTTCTGATAGATGTAGAAAAAAATCAACCTCATTGTGTGGCGAATGTGTCATTAACATGCAGTCTGATCTGAATAAAATCGTTGTTCAGAAACACTGAATAAAATCACAGAAGACCATGAACGATTAATTATAAGTTATAGAAATTAAATCAGGAATATTCAATTTCAAAGGAACATTAAATGGCACCTAATATTGGGCACAGTAAAAACTTAAAGTAGTTTACAACAATTATATGTATCTTGTATATTCTTTCAGTCATAATTTTCCCATAAAAAAGTGCGCAATGGAATCTCGCTTTTCGAAATATAAATAATGTTCGACATTAGGTGTTATTCGTGATTGGAGAAACTCTCTCTCTCTCTCTCTCTCTCTCTCTCTCTCCTATATACATATATAAACTTTTATTACTTTCAACGATAAATTGAAAATCGATAGTAGTTCCTCGAGAATGATAACGCTGATAAATTTAATCAGGCAACGAGCACGCGGATCGTGGGCGGTATATGGTGGTTCTTCACGTTGATCATCATATCGTCGTACACTGCCAATCTGGCGGCGTTTCTTACGGTGGAGAGAATGATAACGCCGATTGAAAATGCTGAGGATCTCGCTGGTCAAACGGACATCGCTTATGGTACCCTGGATAGTGGAAGTACCATGACATTCTTCAGGGTAAATCTTTTTTGACGTTCAGTTTCATTTGACTACTCGGTCACGTCGGTAAGAAATCAGAAACTAATGTCTAAAATTAAGGAATGAAGTAACGATTTAATACGGATGAAATCTTGTGATATTTATCTTCTGATGAACTTATTGAACTTCAGTCGCTAGCTTCACGAAAGTATTTAAAAACTGCTACGTTCACATATCGATCAAAGAAATAAATCTAGAAATGTATGTAGAAATTGATATTTATTACGAGTTAAATACCATGTATTTAGTAAAGCATATTCCCCGAATATTCAGGTTTAATACAATATTTCGATTATGATTGTTTAAATACTTTTGTGATCTCCGTATGAAATATATACTTGTATTAAATATTTTATACTTGAACATATAATCGTGTTTTGTCTCATTCTACATCCAATGAAAACTTCCAAATATTTCATATTAGCTTAATGATAATAAATATACATATATTCATAAAAAGTTCCTCGAAACGCTTTCGTGAGTAACTGTACAAGTAACAACTCCAATGATTCAAAGGATTCAATGATCGAGACATACAAGAAGATGTGGCGGTTCATGGAGAACAAGAAACCATCCGTGTTCGTGCCTACTTACGAGGAAGGAATCCAAAGGGTTCTTCAAGGTGATTACGCTTTCTTAATGGAGTCGACCATGTTGGATTACATCGTGCAGAGAGACTGCAATCTAACGCAAATTGGCGGGCTTCTAGATAGCAAAGGATACGGCATCGCTACTCCCATGGGTGAATTACATCTTCTTCCATGTCTATTGAATAGATGTTCTGAGATTGTAACGTTTGCCAATTTCTTGTAGGCTCTCCGTGGCGAGATAAAATTTCCTTAGCGATCCTTGAGCTTCAGGAGAAGGGTGAAATTCAGATGCTGTACGATAAATGGTGGAAGAGTCCTGGTGACACTTGCATGAGGACTGAGAAGGGCAAGGAGAGCAAGGCGAACTCCTTGGGAGTGGACAATATTGGTAATTTTTTAAAGAGACTAATTTAATTAATGAATTGATTAAATTAGTTTACTAGAATAAAGGATAGAAAGAATATTGAGGTTGAAAGAATGTTAGTGTAACTGGACTTTTATTATAGAAAATTATAATTATAATCAATTGTAATTATATTATGAAAATTTTATTGTAGAAAATTTAAAAGTGCAAAGCTCTCGAGAATGTACACAATGTGAAAAAGAATATAGTACTTTCTACAATATTCACTGCGTATAAAACAATTCTATTTTTTTTTTTTATTATTATATTTATAAAATTTGACAGAACATTTGAGGATTGACAGATGATCACTTTTTATTTCTGATATTCAGCATTACTGTAAATAATAAAATTTTCAAATTTTTGTAATACGGTTGTCAATATGTGAATGCTCCACAGATTCTTTATTATAAAGATACTTTTAAACGACGATATATATAGATTTCTGTGACTGAGTACGTGCCAACTTCAACTTCAACGTGGTGCAGCAAAAATTATTCAGTTTTTCACTCGAGACACCCTGTGTACTTAATACGAGTATTAATCTTCCCCACACGTTGTTTCTCTGTTTCGATTTTTCTGTCGCTACCATCTTCATTCGAATCGCGTCGAACATCTTCGACCAGCGAGAATTTCGAGGAAACAGCGTCCTGTCCGCGACCAGGGCCAAATGAATTTTTACATTTGCTGGAGGCTAAACTTCTTGTGCTGTCTTTTAGGTGGAGTGTTCGTTGTACTGCTGTGCGGTCTGGCGTTCGCCGTGTTGATCGCGATCTTCGAGTTCTGCTACAATACCAGAAGGAACATGCCGGCGGAACGGGTAAATAATTGTCTTTTATCATACCTTGATCAGCAGACCTTGATCGTTGAATCGGGATCATTCACGTTTTATTTCTAATAAAATTGCCACGTCTGAAGGGAGTTTCATTAAATATTAAAGTTGATATTATACACTATACATTATTAAATTGTCTCTGTATATAAATATTAGACTGTCTACAGATAATATGTAGAAATATATAAAGTAATATTGTAATACAAATTTAAATTCCTGACAAGAATGTATTTACTTTATGCTAAAGTTACAGAAAATGAACAAATAATAACAATAACCTTCCTGCATGATATTGATACATTGACTGACTGCTACGATGATTATTGGTGACTTACATCATCTTTCGAAATGATTAAAATAGAATAAATATTTTTTTTTACATATATTCTAACTACGAGAGATTCTTACTTGGAAAGATTCTTTTAATATTTCTCAATGGGTGTTAGATAATTTTATAAAATTTAGAGACCCGTAACATCAAATCTTTATTCTAATTTATCAACTATCACGTTTTACTATGAAACCAAGAACGTGAGTGACGATAAAACTTCCTGTCAAAAATCGCATTCAACACACGTAAGATGTTAAAATTTGTGAACAATCCCAATTCATTGACCAAGTGCTGTAGATTTCCGGGGAAAAACGACAAGAACATG